TCGGCACCGTCAGCACCGATCCCGCCGTTGCGTTGACGGCCAATGCCGCTTTCGCCGTCGAGAAGCTGCGCACCGGCAACTGGGGCGTGGTCAGCCAGAGCGGCAGCCTGATCGGCGCGCTGCTGTCGCGCGCCGATGCACGCGGCATCGGCTTCTCGCGGCTGATCTCGGTCGGCAACGAGGTCGACCTCGCGGTGGGCGAGATCGCCGACCTGCTGGTGGACGATCCGAAGACGAACGCCATCCTGCTGTTCATGGAAACGCTGCGCGACGGCGAGAGACTGGCACGCGCGGCGCGTCGGGCCCACGAGGTGGGCAAGCCGGTGATCGCCTACAAGCTCGGCCGCTCGGAGATCGGCCAGGAGCTCGCGAAATCCCACACCGGCGCCATCGCGGGATCGGATGCGACCTTCGATGCCTTCTGCCGTCGCCATGGCATCGCGCGCGTGTCGATGTTCGAATCGCTGATCGACGTGCCGGCGCTGCTGGTCGACCGGCCCGTGTCGAGGCGTGGCAGCCATCGCGTCGCCGTGGCGACGACCACCGGCGGTGGTGCGGCGATGGTGGTCGACAGCATGGCAGTGGCCGGGCTCGAGATCGCCGGGCCGCCAAACAATCTCGTGGAGTGGCTAAAGCCGCCGGGCATCGCGGCCGGCGACGGCAAGCTGGTCGATCTCACCCTGGCCGGCGCCAAGCCCGAGATCGTGGCGGGCACGATCGAGCGCCTGCTGGCCGACGACGGCAACGATGCGGTGATCTTCGTGGTCGGCTCGTCCGCGCAGTTCAATCCCGAACTGGCCGTCGAACCGCTGCTGCGCTTCGCCGGATCGGGCAAGCCCTTCGCCGTCGCGCTCACTCCTTCGGCCTGAGAAATCCTTGGCGCTGCTGACGGATGGCGGGCGTTCCCGCGTTCCGTCATCCTGAATCCTGTGCCGAGGCGATGGCGCTCTGTCTTTTGCGCACGCCGCCGCAACCGGTGCCGCGTCTCGCCGAGCCGTCGGTGGCGGCGCTTTCGGCCCTTGAGGCGGGCCGTGCCTCGGGCCTTCGCTGAACG